ATTGAAAGTTGAAATTTGTTTTGAACTCGATTTTTTGGTATCTTACTTCATCAACAACTCTACTAGGAGAGTTTAGACATCTCCTATATGTTCCTATAAATATCAAACTCTTCTATACAATTTAATAATGTGAGAAAGTGATTACTAACTTTTAGGATCATTGTAATTTTGCCCATTTTCCATTATTTGTAGTGCAATAAAATCTCATAATTCTTTTGCCATATTTTCTTGTCTTCTTTTATTTTTTGCCTTGTGATCAAATAATTCATTATCGTGTCATATAACTTCAATATTTCAATCCGATGGTTGGTTTCATATCAAGGGATACCAAGCGATACGTGATTCTTGAATTCCTAACAATTGATATTAGAGATTCAAGGCATAATTAACCCAATAATTGGTATCAGAGCGATTATGGTATTTTGTTTGTTTCACAACTAGTGTATCAGAGACTAGGTTTAACAGCTCCGCAAAAGCGCGAGGTTTGATTTGTTCAAGGTTTTATTCGTGATGGCTTCCATGAAGTGTGGCATTCCGCTTTTGGATTGGAACACTAGATTTTCGCTGTGGTAGGTTAAGATGCGTGTACTACTCGCACAACTGGATTCGGATAATGAGTTGCTGGGAATTGACAAGATGCCCGCAACTTTGATCGTGGAGGAGAAATTATGAAAGGATAAGAATGCAGTTTTTCACATTCATCTTCATATGTCGAATACAATTCTTCAGGACGTTTTGAATGAGGGTTCAACGACTGCTTTATGGTTGAAATTGGAGCAATTGTGTATGACTAAAAGTCTTACATGCAAGTTGCTTCAATGATGCTCATTGGAAGATCACCTGGCTATATTTAAAGAGATCGTTGCTGATTTGGAAACTTTGAAAGTAAAGTATGATGAAGAAGATTTGGCCTCGATCCTATTGTGTTCATTGCCTGTTTCGTTTTCTTCATTTAGAAATACGATCTTGTATAGTCGTGATACTCTCACCATAGAGGAAGTGTATGATGCTTAGTTTTCAAAAGAGAAGGTGGAGAATTTGGTTTCAGAGAGTCCAGAGATGGAGAAGGCCTTGTTGCTCATGGTGGTTTTGGAAGGACATATCGAAGTCTAAGTTCAGTAATCGGATTTGTAACTTCTGCAAGAAGAAGGGGTACTTGAAGAATGATTGCTACAAATCGCAGAATAAAGAAATGTTGGCTGCAACTCGATATGAGAAGCAATCAGAGACTTCAGGTGAAGCAGACCTCACAGAGAACATTGTAAGTGAGGGAGATCTCTTGGTCATTTCTAACATCGAGTCTAAACCAGATAACGATTTGATTCTGGATTCAACGTGTGTGTTTCATATGTGTCCTAATAAGGACATGTTTATTACATATGAAACAACTTCCAAATGTGTCGTGGTTATGAGAGACAACACACTTTGTCGGATTGTTGGAATTGTTAAGGTCGGATTGAAACTATTGGATAGGACAATTAGAACACTTGGACATGATCGACATGTTCTGGATTTAAAGAAGAAACTTATTTTATTGTCTATCATTGATTCAAAGGGTTATTCTTTGGTAGAGGTGGAGTTTTGAAAGTTTGTAAGGGTGCCCAGATTGTAATGGAGGGATAGAAAAGGTCTCAATTATACATCTTTTAGGGTCGTGCAGAATCTCGAAGAATCAATCAGCACAGTTTCAGTACCGTAGTGGACATTTAGTTTGGTACAACACTTTTAAGAGCTCGTAAATGGTTGAATTTGAAGAATACTGCTCAATGGAGTTCATGAGATATGGATAATACCGCTTTGCCACCATCACATGCGGTGACATTGTATTCAATTGCTAGGGACGGACCCAGCGGTAAAAGGTATGTAGATGCTGATTTTGTTGAGCATGCTTTCATATAGTAGAAGGTGTACAATCTAGTATGGGCCTTTTGAGAATTTAAGGTAATTCTGCAGAGTAGTGCTTGGATTCATTGGAAGAGATGTAGTATTTTGTGTTTGGTTTGAGAAATCAATTTTGGTTATTGTTGAGGAGTCAATTCATTCCTTGCAAACGGATTTTCTTTTCCAGGTGGAGAATATTTTGGAGCTTTGTTCATTGCAGTGGAATTCCTGTCAATGTAGAGATTGTTAAGTGGAGAATATTTTGAAGTTTTGTTCATTGCAATGGAATTCGTGTCAACGTGGAAAGTGTTAGAATTTGGGTGTAACCCGAATTTCCCGTTGAAGTAATTGAAGAAATCTAATTGAAGTGCAAGTCAAGAAGAAGTCATTCTGTAATGCTATTGGAGTCCTCTATCAAGTTAAAATTTTATTTTGGAAGCCCTTGGGGAGTTAGAATTTGTTTTGGACTCTATTTTTTTGGTACCATACTTCATCAACAACTTTATTAGAAGAGTTTGGACATCTCCTACACATTCCTATAAATATTAGGCTCTTATATACAATTTAATAATGTGAGAAAGTGATTACTAAATTTTAATCATTATAATTTTTTTCTTTCTCCATTATTTGTGGTGCTATAAAATCTCATAAATTCCTCTGTCATATTTTCTTGTCTTCTTTTATTCTTTTACTTGTGATTAAATATTTCATTATTGTATCATATAACTTCAACATCTCAATCTGATAGTTGAATTCATATCAAGTGGTAGCAAGCGATACGTGATTCTTGAATTCTCAACAATTGGTATCAAAAATTTTGAACATAATTAACATAATAAGTGGTATATGAGCGTTTCTGATATCTTGTTTATTTTACAACAATAACAAAAGTAATAAATTATTTAATTCTTTTTTATGGTATGCAGAGAAATTCAAGTTGTTGACAACGTTAATGACTGGTCACCGTCCATAATTTATAGCAAGCAGGCAAGTTGTAGAGCAGAGATTATAACAGCACAATTCCGAAAGTACATACTTTAGCAGAATATATAAATATGACACTAGTACCTTTTTTTTTTCTCGTACAGTTTTGAATTTCTTCATGTCCTCTGGGCCATCTCGATCGATTGATGACACCATAGAACTATTTTGGGCATAATTATATTGCACTAACATTTGAAAGCAAGAAATTTGTGAAGATATTTATTTTCAAAGGAGAAAACTAAGCTTCTTTTTTCTCATTTTCTCTTCTCTATTCGCCCTGTACTGCGTGGGAAACCCCATAAAACTATTGAGAAATAAAAATTGGGAATAAAAAAATAATAATAATAATACAAGAACTTACTTCGAATACACCAAAATTTGAAAAAAAAAGGAGGAAAAAAGAACTGCGAAAACAAAGATTTATCCTCTATATGAAATATTTTAAAATCATACAATATCTGTCACACCTAGTACCTCAAAAGAGGTTGGCTACCTATTTCTCTTAGACAATGGGAACAAGGATCATGCTACACTTACAAAATGTTTTACAAAATATCTTACCAACTCGCCACTTGACGCCCCACCATTGGACCTGCCTACATCTAAATTTATCCATGGGAACAAACTAATTATTAAGATTTCAGGTTTTATTTTTACCCTTACATGTTGGTTATGGTAGGAATTTACATTTAACATGCCTACTCGAGATTAGCACTTCTATATGTACAGAATTTTTTTTATGTAAAATATACAGATCACACACATCAAGGTGGAACCTTTTTTTTTTTTTTTAAATATTTAAATCACATGGGGTTGGGCCCCATGTGAGAGCCGGTAATTTTTACAGAAGGATTTCTTCTGTACAAAGAGAAAAATTTACTTGAGATAGTGGCTCATTTGAGAATATCAATTTTAAATTTGATTGATCCTTTGGGATTTTTAGATCAATTGAATTACTCATTCAAGCTTGTTTCGGCCTTAATTAATAATTAAGATTTGAAGTTTTGTTAAGAGTAGGAGCTCAAATTAAAATCCGGTAACTCCTTGAGCATTTTTAGAAGGATCAAATTGTTCACAGCTTTGTTAGCTCTGATACCATATTAATTAATGGATTTGATGTTCTAGCATAAAAAATAAACTTTGTTAAAAGAAGTAGCAAAAACTCTTATATGTAGGTATAGTTTCGATATTGAATCGAGGCGTATTACTGAAATTTTTTATGACATCAAAAACTGCCATGGCAGTGTAATGTGTTCCTTCCTGCTTCGATGAATCTTTGTACGATACTTCAGCTGACTCGTACTACCATTCGCGACAGAAAAAATTCTTCAGCACATTGAAATTTGAATCTACAATAGCATTTTGATCCTTTAGTCCAATACAAGTCTGATTATTAGATTTAATAGATGCTGCAGCTCCAGATTTTCTTGGACAAGAAGCTCAATGACACATACTAGCAATACATTGCATGAGAAAATTAGAAAAACAAAGTAATGAAAATTGTTTTATTTATTCATAATTTATAGCCTCATTTGAAAATATAACCTTATTGAAGTCCACCTCTTGTCAAAATTCCTGAATTTAATTTCATTACCACTACTAGCTCGAAATTATAATTGATCGGACTTAAATTATAAGATAAGCCCCTGTTTGTCTACTATTTTTCAAAAATTTGTTTTCTACAGTAATCAATCTCTACCACACATTCAAATAATAAAATATTCTACACATAAACCGATAAAGTTTCTTTCAATTTTAACCACACATTTTTCAAAAAATATTATCCATTATACCATTTTCTTCTCAATAATGGTTGACAAACATGCACTAAATCATGTTGTGTTTGATGGATATTATTGATAAAATAATGTATTTTAAATTGTGATACGATGAAAAATATGTGGTTAAAAAGTAAGAAAAAGTTATTAATGTGATATAAAATATTATTTTATTGAAGAATGTGTGGATGAAAATGAGTTTTGAAAGAATGTACGCGTCAAACAGGGGCATAAAGAGTGAAAATGAAAACATTGTTCCAATAGCATAATCCATGAGAAATATTAACAACATATGCAAAGTTCATTGTGAGATGAGTTTCACAAAGATTAGTAGTTAGCATTAGCAAACAGACGACATCAAAATCCTCTCCCACCACAAGCATTTGAAGCTAAGAAACTATAACCAGTCTCCTTGAAAGAAAGCATAACATTAAACCCTAAATGCAGAAAATAAATATATATAAAGACCGATTACAAAGAGAGAACAATATCCAAACAGCTTCTTCGCTTTCTCAGTAGGGAGACACACCCACGTTGGCAGGAGCAAGAAACCCATCTTTCATCAGAACATCATCTCCTTCCTGCACAATACAATAATTAAAAACAAGAAAAAATTGTACCTGTATAAAAATAATTGCAACCTCAAAGAGGGCAATGCCCTTCGAATATAATTTGCAGTAGGATGGTAGTGTCGCGTGGTGGAGATGTGTGGGAGGAGGTGGTGGTGGTGGTGTAGATTAACTTCTTGGGTTAAGCCCCTTGTACAGGGGAGGATGCCAGGACGACAGGTGCATTAGCTAGGACAAAGGGTCAATGAATGTGCAGTCACCTATCTCCTGTAATGGAGTCTAGCAATTCTCTTATACATGTAGCAGGGTTGTAACTTCTTTATTCTGATAATAACTCATTTTCCCTATCAAACATGCTGTTAGAGCCTGAAGAATTAGCGAATTTTCTGTGTGAACACATTATAAAGTATGTAAAAATTAGACCAAATACATCTAATCTAGGGTTATGAGATACCTGTTGGCACACATTAGGTTTCTTCACGGGTTGATCAGGCATAAGTCCAAAGTGAATGTGTGGGAAATGGGCCCACTGTGAGCAAGAAAACAAATGAAAGCAAAAACAAGAAACATAAACCTTTTTCTGTCAAAAATATTAGACTTCACGACCAAAATGGAACCCTAGTTAAAGAAAAGAAACCCTAAGAAATAGAGGGTATTGTTTTTGAGTAGTGCTTGATGTACAATAATTTTGACATCATTGTTGACAACGTGCCACATGGCATGTTATCATTTGACAGTTTAAAAAACAATTCATTATTTCAACCAATACCTTTTTGCCACAACCAACATTGTCAACAATGTTGTACAAAAACATTATACAAATAGCATAATTCATTGTTTTTATATTGGATCTTACATTCTTTGCAGCAGCGCTGAAGGCTTCCCTATGGCTTATATCTGGGTTTCCTGCTTTGATACGTTGGATCTCGTCTCTGCAATTTCATGATACAAGTCAAAATTATTCTTAGATGCTTCAGAGATTTGTTTATAGGCATTCTCGTGCCTTTGTTAATTCCTATACAAATTGTAAAATAATGTTGTGTCCAGAACCTACCACAAAAGTAAAAATAAAGCTGTAACTATTAATAACCCCTCCCCACCGCCCTAATGAAACACCCAAGTTGGGTTAGCAGAGGGGGTGGGGGAAGGGGTCTTTTGGGTGTATTTGCGCTTAGAATTGCATTTTAATTTTCTTACTTGATAAACCGGTTGTAAGCAGATGGCACTCTCTGTCGCTTCTCCGGGGCTGAACATGACAGAAATACAAACAAACAAAAGAAGGCATTAACTTGGCTGACTTTCTGCATTCAGTGTCCCTCTCTCTCATTACTTCATCATTATCTAATGATCTATCTTTCTATTTCTCATCTTGGATTCTGCTGTTCCCACATTATCTTGATTTCCGGGGGAGAAATTAAATTTGCTTTTACATAGACAAATAATAGCCAAAAAAATAAAAAAAGCAGTGGCTATAATGAATTGCCGAAGTAGTGAAATTTTGTTAGACAGATTACAAGATTTGGAAAATATTGCTTAAATTGGAAAAAAAGCTACAGATTTTTATGTAGGGAGGAAGGAAATGTTGATGAATAACAGTACAGCCATGCTTTAGATGCACCTCCAATTCCAAAGAAGACTTTCATAAAGCATGGGATATGTGAGCTCCGAAATCATTGAAGGAAGGAAGTAAATCTTTAAAAAAATAATAAGAAGGTAAAGTTTTGAGTATCAAAGTTCTTAGAGTCTGTTCTATCGGTTTCTTAATTAGTTGACGAAGTACTGTATACCGGAAAGTTTTGACGGTCACTTAAATGATTCCACACTTTCAAAGGGTAAAAACAAAGAAAAAAGACATGAACCCTAGTGGTAAATTTCAATATATTCAGATTTAACTATTAGAGATCCTCTATAATTGGTGAAATTAATTAGGGGGGAAAGTAAAATTAGTATTCATAATCTCACGTCTGTTAGCAACTGGAGGCTTTGGAAGCTCATCTATTCCTCGAACTGGATTCAGAGACTCGTTCGGATTGGGCTGATTGATCGACACGTTGGATGGCGAGTTCCGAATCTCCTCCTGAAAATGAACTTATCAATTATTGCAAAATACATAAAATTGAATATTTAACTATACCTAGCTTGATTTTCCAAGATAGAATGGTTATGATTAATTCTATGACATTAAAATTCCAAGAAAGAACTATGCAAAATTTAAACCTTAAATCTGTAAAAGGTCGAAATTAAGAGGCTTAAAAATTAAAAGTACACTATGATATGGAAAACCTAACAATTTCAGATCATATATATACCAGAAGATTCTGTGGAGAGAAGAACGAGTGTCCAAAATGAAGCTGATTTGATGTGGGAAGAAGCAGACCACGCATGTTCACAGACAAAAGGTTGGTGCAATGGCCGCATCGCACTGTCACAGTCTTGAACAAAATCGTGCAAGGAACACTCACCTAATTAATTAAGCAGAGCACAAATATAAGCTAAAATCTCACTCATAGATCACACAAAAACCATTTATAGAATATTGAGAAAAAGGGTTGATAGAACTTGACATAAACAATGAATAGAAGAGTGAAAAGACAGTGATAATTGATCATAGACAGAGGATGACAAGTGATATACCGCGAGGACAGTGTCACAAAAGTTGCAATGGACGTAACATAGCTGCTCCGAAGGAGAGAGGTGGTGGTGGTCCGGTGTAAAAGCAGATGAAGAAGACATATTTTTTCTTTAAACTTTCTTTTTGATGACGATTCCCTGTCTGATTTGATTGATTTAGACTGACTGATCGAGGTATTTATATATGGGTGAGATTGACAGATTAACCACCTTAGATCTGATTTTCGGAATGTATTTTTTTAGGTATCAAAGATAACAAGTCGAGGAAGAGTGAGAGAGAAAGAGAATTGGAGGAGCCCACTAATACAGCTGCTAATTTCTCAGTATTCATGTATATATACATGTATAGAAAGGTCTACAACTTGTTGATGTACATTTGTATGTATATACACACACTGGGACCTTGGGGGTGGGGGGGAAGGAAATGTATGGTTGCCATTCCCGATGATTTGTGTGTGAGTTGGAAAGGAGGGTGGGGGTGGGGTGGCGGCAGATGAGGGGAGAGTAGTGAGAAAAGGACGTGTGCATGGGGCGATTAGCTTTGTTACATTCAGCTGTAGTTTTCATAGTTAAGAGGGGTGCAAGCCTTTTTTTATTTATTTTTCACTGTTCCCAATTTTCTAATGGTAAACCTTAGGGTAGGGTTAACAAAACCTTGAATGGCGGGCACCTATCCGTGTAATTCGCCTAATGTTTGAATTGACTCTAAATTTTAGTTGCTGAAAGAAGAAATGAATAACTTTCTAAATAACCTTACAACTCGAATTTTTCATGGTCGACATTGTAGATTGTAGATTGATGATCATGCACTTGTTAAATCTCTTGAAACATTCATAAGTTAATGAGAGGGTGTGAATAGAGAATTTATATTTCGTTACATATTAGGTTGATATGACATTCTATTATGAGTCAACGGGTTAACTTTTTATTGTGTCCAATTTGTGTAGTGATTAAATTAATCGGTTTTTAAAAATCTTGTTTGCAATTTTATCTTGAAAACTTACTGCTGAAAAAAAACAATAATAAAAACAAAAAGATTGACATAACTAAGAAAAATATACTTGAAAAGTTTTTATCATAACATTTTTTTATTATTAACAAAATGAAATATAGTTGAATAAAAGTGATCTTATCAATCTCGAGATGGAGTGTACGATAGAAGTGACAAAATGTCACCATACATAGAGTTAGTGTCTCTCCGACTTCTTCTGATCGCTTTCAAATTCACTATTTGAAGGTGATTGTATAAAATTATTACCATAAAGTCCATAACTTTGTCATCGTTTCATTAATATATCTAAAAGCATTTCTCCATAATCCCTATCATCGGGTAGAAAAGTAGTGCCTCCGCTCTGACATTATCACTTACAATTGCTGCCTTCAGCACGGAATGTATAGAGACCTCTTCAAATTGCACAGCATCTTTTCTTATCTAAACCCATATTATTTTGATCACGTTCCATTAATTTCTAAAGGAAACAAGAATACAGAAAAAACTAAATGTATATACTCAAAAAGTTTACAAAACAATGTAAGATATGCAGAAGGCAGACTAGAACAAAGCAATAAAGCTTGAAATTTGTGTGATTTGACCCCTCGGGCTCTTCTCTCTCGGACACACATACAGATACAGAGATACGTAGTTGTCCGTGAGAGCAGACAGCAGATATATCTTCCATTTTCATTTATGTATGCTTTTGTCCTTACATTATTTTCAATATGATATAGTCGACAAATCAATTCACCAGAATTTTTTCGTTTCGTTTTGTTTTCTTTTTTCATTTAATTAGAACAGGAGAGAGAAATCTAGAGAGAGATCTTGCAGAAAGAAACCCTAATGGGTTTCACTTTTTGTAAATCAATTGAAAACTATCACATCCAAGGTTGAATGCTGAAAAAACGGGTTTCTTCATTCAAAAAACTGCCTTTAAAGAATACTGTCTCTGGACTCCGTTACACAGTGTGTTGTGGTCCATTTTTATAGCAGCAGCAGCAACTTAATTTGTTGGATCTCAATGTCTCTGTGTTTCTGCATGTGTGGTAACAGATGAGGGTACCGCCTTGTGTGGTGAATCCACCGCCTTTCTTTTGAACTCATGCTACTAATAAAATATTAGATGGTCGAGTTGGTGGAGCAGATGAACGCAGAGACCAAAGGTCATATGTTCAAATCCCCTGCCAACACTTTTTAGGTCGAGCCCATCACACTAGACAAGGGCACCGGGCTTGCCTAGTGCGATTTACCTCTTCTATGTGGTTTGCGGACTACTGCACATGGAGCGGGATTTACCCAATCTGCACTGTAAGTCACCAAAACAGAAGATAGTTGAGAAATGAAAATAGAGAGAATCAACAAAAAAGGAACGCAACTATGCAGTGCATTTCAGAGCTATGTGCTTCAATCTGTACAGCGATGGTGTTCTTTTATACACAATTCTATAACAAAACTAACTGAAAAGATTCCTAAAAGAGAATAACAAAATATACATAAAAATGTACTTACAGGAAAATAATGGAATAAATCTATCCCTTTTCATTTGAGCAACGTGCAGTGATTTCTTCTGGAATCTGGGCTGCTGGCATGTGCTGATTGTGGGCTGCAATGTTTTGGGCTTGAGCTGGATGCATACTGTGTAATAGCCCCCCGCAAAATGGAGGATAGAGATTCACTATTCCCATATTGGACAGATGAAGATTGAGAAGGTAAGCAAGCAAAGCTTTTGTAAAGATGTCAGCTACCTGAGATTGAAAGGCAATGTGAAATGTTGTGATGCTACCTTCTTGGATCTTTTCTCGGATGAGGTGACAGTCTATTTCGATGTGTTTCGTTCTCTCATGAAACACGGGGTTTGTAGCAATATAGAGAATAGACTGATTGTCACATAAAAAGTAAGGTAGCTTGTGGATGTGGAATATGTAAATCAGCCAGCAAATATCTTAGCCAGGTGAGCTCGAAACATGTTGATGCCATAGAATGAAACTCAGCTTCAAGATCGAGAGACGACTGATTGTTTCTTCGACTTCCAAGATACAAGAGATTTACCAAGCAAGATGTAAGAGCCGATTGTAGAGGGACGCGTGTCCGGGCATGAGGCCCAATCAGAATCACAATAGGCTTGAAGTTGTAACTGAGATGAGGATGACAATAAAATGCCTTGACCAGGAGCATTTTTGAGATATGGTAAAACCCTATGTGCTGCTGAAAGATGTGAGGTTGTAAGAGAATGCATGAATTGACTCAGGAGCTGGATAACATAGGAGATGTCTGGTCGTGTGATGGTAAGATACAACATTCGACCTATAAGTCGTCTATAAAAACTAAGGTCAGATAAAGGCCGTCCAGAAGATTTATGCAACTTAAAGCTTTGCTCAAGTGCTGGCTGTAGGTAAGGCTGTAAATGGATCGGATCTACCTATATCCGATTCGATCCGATAAGAAAATTTATCTGATTCGATAATTCAATTGATATTTAATTGTTAAATTCATATCCGATTTGCAATGTTATCGGATATTCGATCCGAAATTAATAAAAATTAGGCAAAAAAATTTGAACTAACTTGATGCCTACCTATTTTTCCTAACAAGCCCAATAGTGACTTCTACCATCATGATGTTCCTTTTTAAAGGAGAGACCATATTCTATTTTTCTATTGACATTCGATTTTCAAAATTTTCAATTCTTGAGCGTGTTTAATAATTATAAAATTTTCAACTTTTTTATATTTTTGAATTTAATTACTTTTTTATTCTAAATTTATTTATTTTAGTGACAAATAATATGCCATAAAAATATTTTACCTACTCAATTATTTATAACAAATCGGATCAAATTGTTATCAGATCGGATTGATTTATATCCATATTTTATCCATTTAGTTAACGGATTATCGGATTCGAATCTTGATCGGATTATTGGATTGAGACCCTAAATCCATCTCCCATTAATTTCGTCGGATTCGGATCAAAATCTAATCCATTGACAGCCCTACCTGTAGGGGCTTGCAACCAAGGGTTCCTGAATCTAAAAGAATGTCTGAAGTGTACTTTCGTTGGGATAAATGTATCCCTTTGGAAGATCTTGCAACTTCCAAACCCAAAAAATAACGCAAACACCCAAGATCTTTAATTTTGAATTGAGTATGCAAGAAATGTTTAAGAGGGGCAATAGATTTCGAGCAATTTCCAGCCACAATAATATCGTCAACATAGACTAATAGAGTAGTGAAAGATGTACCATTAGCCTTAGTGAAGAGACTATAATCAACTTTTGATTGGTGGAAACCAAAAGCAATGAGGGAATGCTGGCTTGAAATTTTAATGCCTGAGCAACATTTAAGAGATGTTGGTGTTTTCTTTCTATAATGTCATTTTGTTGGGGTGTAGCAACAGAAGTTTTCTGATGTATAATGCCTTTAGAATTGAAAAAATCAATCATGTTGAACTCATTGCCATTGTCACTTCTTAATATTTTAATGGCAAGGTTAAGTTGGGTGTGAACTAGGTTGGTGAACGATTAAACACATTTCCTGGTTTCAGATTTATTTTTGAGAAGATAAAGCCATGTAGTATGGGTAAAGTCATCTACGATGGTCAAGAAAAATTTGGATACATCATATGCAGTGGTGGAACAGGGACCCAGAGGTCACAATGTATTAATTCAAAAGTTGAGAAATCTTATATTGACTTGTAGGAAAGGGGAGTCTGTGCAACTTTGCTAAGGGACAAATGCAACAAGATTTTTCATTAATGTTTTTTATGCTATTTTTTACAATAGGATCAGTAATTAAACTGAGACATGGAAAAGAAAGATAGCCCAGGCAACAATCCCAAAGGTCATTGACAGGACCATGACTCAAAATAGAAGCTGAAAAATTAAAAATTATGTGGGAAACTGTGTAACTTTGTCAACTAGACTAGAAGGAGAAACTCCACGATATAAGAGGTGATATAAACCATTCCTCACTTCACCTTTCCCAATCGTTGTCCAAGAGGCAAGGTCTTGAATAAAACAAGCATCAGAGAAGAAAACTAGACAACAGTTTAGTGAAGAGGTAAGTTTCTTAGCTGAAATCAAATTAAAATGGAATGACGGAACACTTAA